GATCCTCCTTCCAGCCCTTCTTGAAGATAGGCATCACATTTGCCAACGTCCAGCCATCTGGGACCTCCCCTGTTATCCAGGACTGCTGATAAATGATAGAGAGTGCCTTGGCAAGCTCCTCTGCCAGCTCCTTCAGCACTCTTGGGTGGATCCCATCCAGCCCCATAGACTTGTGGATGTCCAGGTGGCATAGCAGGTCAAAAACTGCTTTCTCCTGGATTATGTGGGGTTTATTCTGCTCTCCGTCTCCATCTTCCAACTCGGGGGGGCTGGGTACCCTGGGGGATAACTCGTTGGGCCATTAAAGATTGAGGCAAAGAAGGCATAAAGTATCTCAGCCTTTTCCTCATCTTTAGTGGCAAAGTTCCCCCTTGCATCCACTAGAGGATGGAGGTTCTCCCTGGCTCTCTTTTTGCTGTTAATGTATTTATAAAAACTTTTCTTATTATCCCTTACAACACTGGCCAGGTTGAGTTCTATTTGGGCTTTTGCCTTTTTAATTTCCTCTCTGCATGACCTGTCAAGATCCCTGTACTCTTCTTGGGTTGCCTACCTCTTCTTCCAGAGCTGGTAAGCTCTCCTTTTTTTCCTGAGTCTCAGTGGAAGACCTCTGTCCAGCCATGCTGTTCATCTTCCCCTCCAATTCGTTTTACGGCACATGGGGGCAGCTTGCTCCTGTGCCTTTAAGACTTCTTCCTTGAAGAATACCCAGCCTTCCTGGACCCCTTTGCCCTTCAGGACTGTCTCCCAAGGGACTCTCCCAACCAGCATACTGAGCAGGCCAGTCTGCCCTCCAGAAGTCCATGATGGCGGTTTTGCTGATCCCTTTCCTTTCCTATCCTTTTCATTCATTTTTAACATTCATTTTAACTGTTTAGGAAGTGGAGTCCTGAGACTGCCACTGGATACGAGACCCAAATATTTTTATTCCTAATTTAAGGTCTGAGTAATCATGCAAATTCCCACTCAAAGCAAAGTAAATACTGAATTCAGACCAGGGATTTGTCCAACCAGTTTTGTGAGTAGCTCTATCATTCCACTTAGAAAGGAAAACGGCTTGTGTCTGAATAGCAAGAGGCCTATTTCTGCATCTTAGACTTTCACATCTAAAGTATCTTTATATTTCAGAGGCAGGACCAGGATCATTTCACAGGCCTCTGTGCATCTCACCATGGATCTTTGCAATGATACTAGAATAGTTTCACATTCAATGCATAAAGATGTTTTCCTGGTTAAAAGTCTGATTCTTTGAAATGTTTTCAGTGAGGCAAACCTGGTCAGCTATCTCTTTATAGGTTCTGAACTCAGTATGTCTCCAGATGACTATCAAGAAATCACTTTCTGGGATTAATGCTTTTCTAGGGTCTAAAGATGAATTACAAGGATTCCCTGTTCTCTCAGTACCATATTTTTTTCTTCATTTTTCATGCTTGCTCAACAATTGGGAAACAACAGGCATCCTTGAGAATGCAAGTATACATCATATCTCCACTCCATATATTAGAAAAAACTTGTCTAAGCACCAAACCCACATGATAGCATGTGCCTTTGTAACTCTCCTTCCTCATTTGTACCTTTTCTCCATGCTGCATCTGAATTAAAGGCTTTCTAACTGGTTTTTGGTACATTTCTCTCAATGAATGTGCTAGTGGAATCACAAATGATGATTTAAAAAAATAATTCATTTCAGACAGTATCTGTAAAATGACACTTAATTCCTTTTCTTTCCTGTCACCTTATCTTACTGTATAGTTCAGAACAGTAAGTATGGTTGCCTTTATCTTCAGCTGGGAAGCTGATCTGGCTACATGTGCAGCTTGGATACCTTGGTGTGTGAGCTTAGTGTTTGGGGCAATATCTCAGAATCTGAGAGCTGTTAAACACCCCTCATTTCAGCTTTCTCCTTGTATGGGAACAGCGTATTTTGGTAGTTGTTATTAATGTCACCATCATGTTTTGTATGAACAAGCTAGATGGAACAGAGTTCTTCCAAGGTTGGGGGTTTTTTTGCCTTTTGTTTTAAAAAAAAAATTACTTCAGGTAATTTTTTTCTTTTTTTTAATAAGTGCAAAGCCTTTTGTGTTCCTTTGTCACTCATCCAGCTTCTCTCCATATTGCTGGTTTGGTGCTGGATAGCTCCAGTGAGAGCCCTAGTGAGAAATGTTCTTACAAACAACATAAATGAGCCCGTAAGACAGGTATTACTTTGCTAACAAATGTATTTGGCAGGCTGCTGTTTGTGTAGGTAGTATTCTTGTAGGTAATAATTGGCGAGGGTATTTGCTTGGCCTGAAGACCTTGGGTTTCTCAGTTCATTTTCTGAGAGTTCCTTTAGCTGCTGTTTCAGTCCTGCATTGCTAACCTGAGGATCTTCATGTTGCCCTACCCTGAAGGTAGGATTTTGAAGGGTTTGATTATTACACCTTCCTGTCAGGAATCCAGTTCCTCTGTAGGATAAACGTATACTCCTAGGAGCATGTAGTCAGAGGTTAAATGAGTTTGTCTTCTCTACCTATGTGTAATAGATAAGCAGATAGATAGCAATCTCTTCTGCCAGAAGAAAGAGGAAGATTCAGTCTATATTTACTCATCTTGGCAGTTTTGCGTGGAAATAAGAGAGCCCAAAAGCCAGCTCAATTCAAATTTACTTTATCCCAGAATATTAATTCACGTGGCTTCTGTACCCTCCTAATACCATGCTCTTCCTGTATTTCTCAGCTATGCAAATTGATTTGCATAATATGTAACACTTGTCTGTCTTACTGTCAAGGTGAGACCCCTTGGAAGTATCCTATCATTTTTTCATGTCAACTTGTTAAGGAGTCCAAAAGACTGTTTTCTCATTTGGATTTTTTTACTGATTAACTGGATAAAACATTGCTGTAAGATGGTCAGTAGAAAAATCCCTCTCTCCCTAAAAAACCCCATCTTACCGAAGTGTAAGCAATTATGATTCCTCTACCAAACTCTTGTACAAAGTATTCCTGAGTTGTTAGCTGCAGAGTTGCCTCTTGGAGCTCTGGCAATGCTTTTATTAAGGAGTGTTCTTTGTGAAGCTTTAAGAATAAATATGTGAACAGAGAGGCAGGCTTTTAGTCTTTGAAAGTCTCTTTCAGTTTCTTTTATACAATACTGCTTGAAGTCTTCTCTGTGAATATACATATGGTTATATACTCAAAGAAGATTGGATGATATGTACCTGTACTTGGTGTTCTCTGACATGTTTTGTCCGTATGTAATCTTGATTTCCTCTCTTCCTGGAGATACATTTGATCTTTGGCTTCCTTGCTTGAGAAGAAAGAGCATGCTCTGTCCTTCTTATGACATTGCTGCATACAAGGAGGAGGACGTAAGAGCTTTCTGCTTGGCTCCCTCTGAATAACATGTTTTAAACTATTTTGTTGGGGTTTTTTGAGTGAAGTCTTTATTTCTGTTGCCCTATGGTAGTAGCTGCACGTGCTGAATTTTCATTTTTAGCTTTGTACAGGCTTAATATTTAACCCATTTTTACCTTTGTAGCCATCTATATTTCTATACAGTGTATACACTTCAGTTTGGAATGAGCTGTTGTAAAAAAAAGTCATTGTTTGCTTAGCAGAGACTCAAAATACTGTGACTAGATGGAAAAAAAAAATTATTCATCTCTTTGGTTTGACTATGGATATACAAAATTTCTGCTTGTCTTTGAGACACATTAGTAAGAAGCCGATATCCCTCTTGAGGTTTCTCAATGGTACCCAGATCTACCCTTCATTCCAGGGGGCTCCCCTGGCAACTGTAGCTGCTTTTGATGACGAAAAAGCTTCCCCTTTCACTTTCAAAAGGATATGCAAGCTGGCCCACCAGACAGTGTAGAGGCAGCTTTTCTCATGCAGTGTGTACCACTGATAGAATAAACTGTAAGCAAAACAAACAGGCAGCTAAACCATCTGCCACAGATTATGAAACTACAGTATTTGATTACTGGTCAGCAAGTACAGTTTTGCTAGCAAAAAAGCTCCATCCAGATGTTTGCAATATACTAGTTCATTACTGTGTTTGTCTCTAGGCCTTGTATCCATTAATCCTCATAAAATACCTGTGAGATATGTAATAAGGGTTATCCTAATTTTAGCAAAAGGAAAAGTGAGGCTCTGAAGAGCTGTTGCTGAATTTCAAATCAAGAGTAACTTTTTAATTCCCAGTTTTTAGACAGGACTTAGATATAGAACAGTTTAAAAAAAATGAAAAGACTATTTAACATTTATTAAATATTTTGATTTATTGGCACTACTTCTATGCAAAACTTGCAAAATAATTATTGTGACTTTGTTTTCCTTTTGTAGCCTTATATTTTTACAGATCCACCTACGATAAGAGTTGCTCATGGAAAAATTTTCTCAGAAGTTGTATGTTTTTTCCACCATGTGACACATACCATGCGACTGTATAAAGTCCAGGGTGAGTTGTGAAATTCTGTCTCTCTCAGCAGTTATTTTTCATCACTACAATCTTGGATCCTACCTGTCTTTTCAATGTGTAAATGCACTTCTGAACTAGTGAAGAATTCATCAGACCGAAGTCTTTACTAGGTCAGGTGCACCATGACCCCTTTCTGAGCATCACGCTAGTCATTAAACTGCCATGCTTAAACTCAGCAGATTTGTTGGAGACACCTCTCAGAATTAGGAAATTTTATAGTATAAATTACCTACAAGGGGGTCCTGAATTTTACTGGGTCATCTGAATGCTGTAGGTAACTGTAAATTATGAAAGTGGGGGGGAAAAAAAAATTAAAAATATCTTGGAGATGATGTAAAAATGCAGTTTCTTTCATAGCTTCAAACTTACTGTTGGAGGTACAACAATATCGTCTCTAAAGCCGCAGAGAATGTAAAGTAATTTTTTAGTGGCATTTATAGAGAAGTCTGGTTTACTCCACAACTGTAGGAAAGCTTTAGTTACCTATGAGCCTCCTCTTTATGTCCTTTATCTGCTTGGAAGAGCTGCTGACAGAATCGGCTATGTCTGTTGAGAGGCACCAGCACTGAACACTGGCTTACTGACTCTTAGCACATAACTTCATGTCAGTTTTGCTTGCTTTTCCTTCAATAAGGTTTTCACTGTTTGTTTCTTTACTGTTCAAGTACTGATTTCCAAGAAAGCTTTAGGAAAACAGTACCTTTAAAGACTCTGTACCCTTCCAAACTTGATGATTAAATAGGCCAGTGAAAAATATAAAAGAGGAAGGAAATCATGGTGAAATTGTATAAACATATTTTCCTTTAGAAACTTGACATAAAATGCTTGAGCATCTTTTTGTAATTGAAGTAGGAAACATACTTTTTCAATTGCTCATCTATTTGTGTTTACTGGAATTCTGAAATACAGAAGCATTGGCTCATATTTTAAACACTTCAAGGAACTTAAACATGTTTTGTATTAGCATTACTTTTACTGTAGGTGTCAAAATTGTCGGCATGGTTTTAAAAATCTTTTCATATTTAATTATTTTTCTAAACACCTTCAAAACCAGATAATGGAACTGTAAGTACTTTCAAAGTCTCCTTTGCTCTTTTCCTTATTCCTTTTAGATTTCAAAAATAATATTATCAGCAATAGTTCTGTCACACAGAACAGATCTGTTTTTTAGTTGTAATATATTTCTCTTCAGAACGAAAATTGATTCAGATGCCTCACTTACTATGGCATAAGTGTATCCTTTGAAGTTGCTAGAGTTTACCCATATGCCATAATACATATCAGAGTTCAGTTGCCAGCTCGTCTGATGCAGTAATTCTAGATCAAACTCTAGATCACATTCCTTATGAATACAAACCAAGATCTAGTACAGTAATTAGCTGTTGAAAATCCTGAAGAAACATGTTTCTACTCAAGATTATATTTTTTGATTTTATGTGACCAATATGTAAAATGGGCTTAGATGGAAAAAAAAAAGGTACCTTGAGGTCACAGAATCACACAGAATCACAGAATGGCAAGGGTTGGAATGGACCTCGGGAGATCGTCTAGTTCAACCCTCCTGCTAAAGCAGGTTCACCTAGAGCAGGTTGCACAGGACATTGTCCAGGCGGGCTTTGAGTATCTCCAGAGAAGGAGACTCCACAACCCCCCTGGGCAGCCTGTTCCAGTGCTCTGTTACCCTCAAGAGTAAAGAAGTTTTTCTGCATATTCAACTGAAACCTCTTATGTTTCAGTTTATACCCATTGCCTCTTGTCCTGTTGCTGGGCACCACTGCAAAGAGTCTGGCTCCATCCTGGTGACATCCACCCTTGAGATACTTGTGTGTGTTGATGAGGTCCCCTCTCAGTCTTCTCTTCTTCAGGCTGAACAAGCCCAACTCTCTCAGCCTTTCCTCATAGGGGAAATGCTCCAGTCCCTTTATCATAGAATCATAGAATCATAGTTTTGGGTTGGAAGGGACCCCTAGAGGTCATCTAGTCCAACCCCCCCGCAGGAGCAGGGACACCGCTAACTAGATCAGGCTGCTCAGAGCCCTGTCCAACCTGGCCTTGAATGTTTCCAGGGATGGGGCCTCCACCACCTCTCTGGGCAACCTGTTCCAG